CAGCGCCGAATCGGGCACAATGGGGTGCCCCTCCCCCCCAAAAAAAATCCCATTTGCGCCAAAAGCCACATGAGCAAGGTACTCCATCTGCTAGTGGCGGATTTTCCGGATAGGCTCGTGTATTTGGTGCGACTGACCTCCCAACCCCCCCCCTCTGGATCCGCCCCTGAAATTAGGTGTGGTGTGGTTAAACTTATGTGTGTTGAATAATTCTGCCTGCCCTAAGTTCTGGTCACTTGTGTTAGGTGAGGGGCCCCACATGCTCAAGGCCCAAGGGCCCCCATCATGTTTAATCCGGCTCTGACTATGTTCCTGGGTAACCCTGTCAATAACTCAGACACTTTTGAAATGACAACTTTCAGACAAGGTAAATAGGCTAAAACGAATTGTGCTTTTCGGAACCCCTGTCCAACAGGGGCGGATTGGGCCGGTCGGGCAAAAAATGAAAAAAATAATAATTTTGTCCAATTCGTCTAAAAAGCCTTTTTCTGCTGAACATTATATGGGGGGGGGGGGTATTGGACCGGCCATGGAGCGATGATGATCATGGTGTATGTGGCCGTGGTTTTAACGGGCCGCCACGCCATCACTGGAGTCTGGAATGGGCTGGTATAATAGACTTTCTGAGCCGGGTGTGCTGGGTGTGGGCCGGAATTCCTAATCCTGCAATGAGGATTCCGAATTTCATCCGAAAATTTCATCGGATTCACCCGACACTGTCACCCGCAAATTTACTAATTATTAAGTCACCTGCACCCTGTTTGTGGGGATACGCCAGAAACGTCTGCTGATGGTTCGTAACTCAAAAAAAATTCAATTTTAAGGCCTCAGCAAAATTTGATGATAGCTGGTCTGCTGGATTAATATGAGTGCGAGACGATTTCCTGAGGCTGATGTTAAACATTCCTTGACATTTTTATTAACTCGTTATTACAGAATTGGGATGTCGGGAATGGTCTCAAATTGCGGGAAATGGCCAAAAATTCAAAAATGAATTGTGTCCAGTACGGCTATATGCATGTCCGCTCCCACAGCGAAAGAACGTCATCTCAGTCCCCGTCCCCATGCAGGCATCACGGCCTTCAGAGGCTGTTTGTGTATAGCTAGTATTGTCTCAGACTTTATACTATCATTCACTCGAAACAGTAGGACGAACAGCTTACTAGAGTATACTGCACTAAATGGATAGGGGGGTTGGATGGTCGAGTGGTTAGCACGTGCGCTCTGTATCAGAAGACCTGTCATTGAGTCAACTGGCGTGGTTTCGAATTCTCGGTTGTACGACGACAAGGAGTAGGGTCGCCTGTCCAACCTCGTCGGTTTTCTCCGGGTCCTCCGGTTTCCTCCCACTGCTAAAGACCCCTACGCGCAAGCGAATTATTGAAATAAAATTAAACCATATGTTAGTCCCGAAATGACCTAGTTTGTGTTGAGTGGACGTTAAACCCCATTTCTCTCTCTCTCTCTCTCTCACTAAATGGATAGCGACTAAAAAAAAAACGAAAAATTTTCTCAGCTAGTCCCATTTTTTAACCAGTTAAATTCTCTTGACTCTTGACGATACAATGATAATACGTTAATTAATAATATGACGATATGATAATTTCACAGGTTGATGGTTGTAAATTACTTGTAGGTCGGGGTTTTGGCCTAAATTAATCGATTTATGAGATATATTATTTGACAGAGATTATAATCAGATATGCCACCAAATCGCATATTTGGGGTTCATTTTTCATAATTTTCCAGGGGGAGAGCACCCGGACCCCCCGTCCAGCCTCCGCGGTCAGTAAAAGGGGCCGCTCCGACACCGGAGCCCGGGCCGGTTCCCGGCCCCAATCCACCCCTGCTGTCCAAGCCGTAAATATTCCTTTATTTGATATGAACTATGTTCCTTTTACTTGCTTTTAGTGTCATTTTTTTTCTTTATTTAACTAGTTATATTTGTGCATTGACAACATCAATAAATCTATTGATTAGTATTACTGTATCGATAAAAGGTAAATACTGGTGGCCACTGTAACCTTTGTAGTATATTATTTCAGGTCAGCCGCCTAAGGTAGGCTATATTGGACCACATTGAAGTTGCTTTCATCACGGGCTGCAATAGAAGAAAAACGTGTTTGCGGCAGTTAAATTTTCAAAATTTTCTCCCGACCTTCCCATCTCCGTGGACTGTAAATGATTGATCTTTTGATCTGAATTCGAATCAGCCATCTTAATTAGGCTATAGTAGACCACTCTGAAGTTGATGTATTCATGGGCTGAAATAGCAGGAAAACACGTTGCGCCGTCAAATTTTCTTGGAGGGTACCTTCACGGTAAGCTAAGTTCCTCCTCTCTCGCAGGAGACCGCCGCCGCCTTCTGAAACCCGAAATTTTTTCGGGCAATTTGGGTTCTGCCCCGTAACTGTCATCGTGCCCGTACGCCTATGCTCGACGTTAACAAAAAATCAAAGATGATATCGTTAGATAAAATATATATTTTAGTATCAAGTGAGAATGTTCCTTTAAGAAATCCAAAATTATCATCTAAATTGTACATAATAAGTTTTATACTGTATATTTGTGTTAATATTATGACTGCCAGAAAGTGATTTTATATAAGCTGATAAAGCCTGTTATCGTATCCTATATTTATTATATAAATTTTGTAAATTTAAATGAATAAAATATTGTTTAAATAAAAAGATATGCGCGAATATCGAAAGGAACCAAGATCTTTGGTTTATAAACTTACATTTCAAATTTCAACAAAATCAGATAAAAATTGTGACCTCTCTCTATAGGGTCCACAAGCTAAAAACGCGATTTTTCGTACAATCAGGGGCCATAATCCATGAAGTTACGGTCCGATACATGCCAATGTCGAAAGGAACCGGGATCTTAGGGAGATAATCCTATATTTCAAGTTTCGTTGAAATCGGATAAAAATTGTGACCTGTAGAGTGTCCACAAACAATTACTTGCTTTTAGTGTCATTTTTTTTCTTTATTTAACTAGTTATATTTGTGCATTGACAACATCAATAAATCTATTGATTACTATTACTGTATCGATAAAAGGTAAATACTGGTGGCCACTGTAACCTTTGTAGTATATTATTTATATCGATTTTCTTTCAGTTCAAAGGTAAAATGCCATTATACAGTAAAACTTATATATTATACAAGGTATCCATTTCAATACCCTATTTTGACCTAAATCAAAGAGTTTTGGCTCGTTTACACTATGCAGGGAAATAACATTGAATTTAATGCAGGAATATCATTTTGCTGCCTAACTTATTCAACCAACTATATAGTTCGAGTAATCTTGTGTATTAGTACCTTTGATATAAATGATTCAGATAATACTATCCAGCCCCGCAGATGTTGCACAAGAAACCTTGGATGATAATTGAAATAAACATTATATGCAGAGGCGTGCTGGGTGGGTAGGCACCCGTCTGCATCTGCCCTCATAACTGAAAAGATAGGTTGCCAGGCAACTAAACATACGCCCACAGCAGCTAAATCGTCCGTGCGGTCGGCAAGGGTTGATGCATATTTATTCTTTTGTAGGTAATTGAGGGCATTTACAAGACAATTTCATACAGATCAGATTATAATTTTTGTCGTTTGAGGGTTCACAAGGTTCTACCAACTGAAACAAGGGCCTTAACTCTGGAAGTAATTAACAGAAAATATTGAAATTTGACAGGCTTTTTCGTTTTACTAATTTAAATAAAGCATAGAACTTTCATAAAGATCGGATGATAACGTTTGTCATTCGGACATTCACAGGGTTCACAAAGTAAAACAAGGGCCATAATAACTCTAGAGATAATTGACAGAAATTGCTGAAATTCAATAGACCTCCGTTTAACAAATTTAAATGATGCATATAAATTTCATACATATGGGATGATAACTTTCATCAATCGAGCATTAACAAGGTTGAACAAAGTGAAACAAGGGCCATAACTCTAGAAGTAATTATTGTAAATTGCTGAAATTCAATAAGCTTTGTGGTTTCACTAATCTAAATGATGCATATAAATTTCACAAAGATCAGATGATAACTTTTGGCGTTATGAGCGTTCACAAGGTTCAATAAAGTGAAACAAGGGCCATAACTCTAGGCATAATAAACGGAAATTGCTGAAATTCAATAGGCTTCTTCGTTTCACTAATTTAAATAAAGCATTTACATTTCACAAAGATCGGATGATAACTTTTGGCGTTAGTGTATTCACAAGGTGCAACAAAGTGAAACAAGGGCCATAACTCTAGACGTAATAAACAGAAATTATTGAAATTAAATAGACTTCTTCATCTCACTAAAGCCAACGACATATATCAATTTTAAAACAATCAGATCAGAAATTGTGGACGATGGGCGAACGCGACGGCAATATACGTCCACATTTCCATGTGGGCGTATAAAAACAAAAGGAACCAGAAATGTTTGAGGATGCACGAATCCGGTGAGATTTCCTACCTGGGTATACATGTAGGGGTGTGTGTGTGACTATTTGACCTCTCTTCTGAAAAAAAGCCCTCATTTCTGAAAAAGTGCCCTCAAATTTCGAAAGAGAAAACTCAAATACTCATGCAAATGCCCGCGTCAATGTCATCATGTTCCATTTTCCTGAATGACAAGATCGTGCCCCCTTTTCCCGCTGCCCTTCCCTTGTTCCAAACAGATCCAGCAATACTAAAAGCTGATCAGATTGCTTATCTCTACTTGGCCGAAGCAGAATATGCTCATCATGACTGCCAGTATCGAAAATGAAATGATTGAATTTGCCGGAGTTGCCTACCACCAAAACTGCATCGCAATATATGCTGTAAATTAGCGACGAGAAACGTCCGACAGACACAGGTGATCAAACTATACGTTCCATTCTGGATGACATATGAAAGAAATCCGGCAGATTTGCTAGGAAAAAGAATATTTTTTTTCCATTATCATGCCATAGTTTTCATAAAATCTGAATATTTATTGTATTATGCTAATTAAATACTGATTCAATCTTTTATTTTTTCGTTAATCAAAATGAATGTACATTAATAATTCATGCTGTAAAATAATGGACATAATACTCCTGTCGTTTGTGGTGATATACAAACATACAACAGTCCGTTATTCTCAAAAGTTAATTTATACGGGAATACAGCTCTAAATGAATTAAAATGGGGAAGTGTAATAATTTTTACTTTGTTACAGTTGATTTAGTTTCAAGAGTTCTATAATATAAGATTTCACCCTATTTATAGTGACATTTTTTTTATTATTGCTTAATAAATATGAATACACTCAAATACTAGTACATGTAGTTGCACTTATTTACTAATTTAGCCCTCAAGCTTTAGTACTGTGAATTTATTGAGGTATGTTCATAATTTTATAAAAGATTTGTCAACCATTTATCCCGTCTTCATTAGCCCAGGTTAGGAGCAGAACAGTAGGACGTTAAACCCCATTTCATTTCATTTCATTTGTCAACCATTTACAGAGATTGACAGGAACATCTTTAATAATATGTAATTTTGAGGTTAGGTACAACATGACCCCTTCAAATATCTCTAAACAGATCTGAATATTATATTCTGTAAACAGTTCTTAGGAATCCTAGAATTCACTTCTCAATTCTTTTAAACAAACATGTCCACAGCAGCTAATGCGCCCGGGCAGCCAAGAAGGCTTGTCGCATATATTTTTTTTGTGGTATTAAATGAGGCATTTACAATACACTTAAATTCAATTACTAAAAGTAATTATCGGAAAACAAATATAAATTTAAAATCATTCGAATATCTTTGGCCTGTAGAGCATCCACAAGATATTTTGAAGTAATCAAGGACCATAATTCTGGCAGTAATTACTGGAAATCATGGAAAATCCATAGGCTTCTTCCTCTAATGACCTTAAACACTGTCTATAAAGGTAGAGCGTCTACAAGCAATAATGGAGGCCGGATTGATGGACTGGGCCCACAACAATATATGACCACATTTCCATGTTGGCATATAAAAAGGACAGATAGTAACAGTATGAACAAGGCTGGTGACAATATCATCTTACTTATCAGTAACTGCTTTCCCATGACCACAATTAAAATATTAAATCAGTACAACAAAGAAAGACATTGTATTACAGTAAGCGCTCTATATATATATATATATATCACATAACAATATATCTACACATAGGTCTGAACATTACAGGGTTTCAGTTTCTCATGACATACATCACAAATTTCTGCTGATGGCAAATTCTCTAAAGTACAACTTGTACACACCTTTTTCATGTCACCAGCTTTGGGGATATCTAAATCTGGGCCTTGATATTTACTTTTGTGACACATACCACAGATTTCATATTCGATATCATTTTCTGCAGTACATGACGCACATATCCATCGTCGGCTTATTCTTGTCTTAGTCTTGAAATCATGTTCACTAGAAGCTCCTGTTGTCGTTTGTTTGTTCATTGAGGCATCAAAATAGTTTGACATGTAAGTGCTGCCATCCATCTCAATTTTATGACTGCCAAAACCTTCCCTTGTTCTCACGGGTTGACTTCTAGCTCCAGAATCGCTACTTTCCAAAAAAGAAACATTGTTTAACAATGGGGTGTTTTTTGTAGCAGGATGTCTATTAGATTCAAATGGTTGATTATAAATCTTGTCGTGGGTTACAATATTAGAATGACTACTTCCAGTTGTGTTGTATCTTCGACCTTCTCTTCCATTAACAAATATAATATCCTCTTTTTTACTTGATAATGATAAATTCATGGATTTCAAATCTAAATCATGATTTTCATTAGGCATAAGATTTTTCTTATTCACATATTCCCAGTCATTGTCATTTTTTTTCGAACGTCTTAAACTTCTTTCTTCTTTTAATTTCACTTCCTGCAAACTGGCCTTCATATGTTCATCTTGTGTTGCTTCTGGGTAGGAATAATATTTATTGCCACTATTATCATCCATAAAGGGAATTTCATTTTCCATCGTATCATCAATGTGTTTGGTCATAGTTTTTAAAGGATTAACATCAACAAACAATTGATCATAGTCCCTGTCATCAATTTTTTTTCTAGACGGTTTTACCTCATCATTGTATGGGTAAGGATCATAATCAAATGTATTACCTAAACCGCAGTATAAAGATCGGGCTTTGAGTTTATCAGCTAAAACATCCTCACTCGGTCTTTTATCTGTTTTCCTCCACTCGAGTGCATCTGTAATTTCTCCCCCTTTATGTTTTATTTCGTTGTACATATCATTAATTGTTGCACATTCAACAGCTGCAACCAGACACTCAAAACAAACATCAAGGATGCGGTCTCTGTCAAAACGTTCTGGAAGAACTAACTGGTCATCACTAACCTTTTTATAGCCAATTAAATAAAATAACTCTTCTGGTTTACTAAGATGAGATTTGACCTTGGCATTGTAGAATCCCGAATAAAGCTAAAAAAAACAAAAAACAATAAAAAACTATTGTATTTTCGATAATGCTATTACATATTGCCTGAAGTATAATAACATATTTCGACATATAATTTAGCAGTATTTAAATATATTTAATTTCATTCTGTCTTCTACACTGCATAGGATCTATTGTTTAGGTTGGCTTGGGTTCATATGGATAATCACAGCTGCATTAGTGAATTTATATAGATCAGTGGACAATATCTTGGCATGATTGGAATGGAAAAGCTACATTTTCATTGACTGTTTACACTACACAACTTAGATACAAGACACAGTGATAAAACTTGTCAGCAGATGTTATTGTAAAGTCAAAATGAATCTAGTATCGGTAAATATAAAATCCAGAACATCAAACAAAAGAAAACAAGCCAATTAGAACTAAAGTAATTGTGTCCCAAAGCATCAACCAATCAAATTGCTAATCTCTGCTTACCCTAAGCAGAAAATTCTTATCTTCGAACTCCATCAAGGCATTCACCTAATAAACAACTACACCAAGTATGAACATTCTAACTCAATTCGAAGGAGAGTTATTGTGTTCCAAACTCTCGACCAATCAGAGAAAGATAGAAAGAGAGAAATGGGGTTTAACGTCCACACGACACAAACTAGGTCATTTCGGCACTAACATATGGTTCAATTTTATTTCAATAATTAACTTGCGCGTAAGGGTCTTTAGCAGTGGGAGGAAACCGGAGGACCCGGAGAAAACCCACGAGGTTGGGCAGGCGACCCTACTCCTTGTCACATACAACCGAGGAATCAAAATCACGCCAGTTGACTCAATGAGACCGTATGATGCAACGCATACACGCACCGCCACCCCTGCTTACCCCAAGCAGAAAATGCTCATCTTCAAACTCCATCAAGGCACAGACCAAATGAAATGAAATGAAATTGGGTTTAACGTCCTACTGTTCTGCTCCGAACTTGGATAATGAGGACGGGCATACGCCATCCAGTGTGCTTTGAGAGAAATTTTGATCGGACAGCGGCACTATGGTCTACTCTTATATCAGATTCCAACTGTCAAGGGATCTTTTACATGCAAGCCTTGGTTTATTGTCCCATCCGAACAACTAGACAGCTGTCCTTGTCAGGCCCTCCACCCTGCATCACTGACAAGGGGGAACCACGCCAGAAAAACTGGATGAACTTTCTCAGCCAATGCCTGGATCGAACACCTGACCTCAAGGCTAGCGAGCCAGCATCTTACCCACTTAGCCACCCTGATCCCTAACACCTACACCAAGTTTGAACATTCTACCTCAATTAGAAGGAGAGTTATTGTGTCCCAAAAAGTGTGATGGACAGACAGACACACGTACAGACAGACAGACCTATTTTAAGAGAAACTTTAATTTTAGTTAATTGCTAATATCAAAACATTAGAAATTTAAGCCAATAGGTAAACCAAATGCTGATTTTACTATCTGAAGTCATTATTAGTTAATTTATCAAATTTTGGAAACCACATGTATTAATCATTCATAGCCATCTATTTTCCTTTTTCTGTGTTGTTATTCAGTTTATTTCATTGAATCAATATTAGTAAATAATTTGCAGTTGACTAAAAGGATAGGTTGCCAGGCAACGAAACATACACCCACAGCAGCTAAATCATCCGGGCAGTCAACAAGTGTTGTCGCATATTTTTACTTTTTTCGGTAATGAAACATTTATAATACACTAAAATCTGATTAAGACTAACAACTCATGAAGTAATTATCAGAAAACCATTAGAATTTGTTTGGTTTTTATAAAGTTCTGCCCCATGCTAACGTTTAGTATACAAAACTTTTAATATCATGGATTTAGCTGTTCAAGTCTTTTATAAAAAATTCATTGAAAATCAATAAACTTGTTCGTCTCAAGATCTTAAACTCTGTGTATCAATCTGAAGTCAATCTGGTGATAACTTTAGCCTCTAGAGTGCACAAGATTTTTCAAAGTGATCAAGGGCCATAACTTTGGCAGTAATTATCGGAAATCTATGAAATTCAATAGGATTCTTCGTCTCATGACCTTAAACACTGTTTAAAGTCAATCGGATATAAACTTTAGCCTCTAGAGCATCAACTGGACCAATGGTGGGAATATCGAAAGGAACCAAGATCTTTACATTTCAAGTTTCATCAAAATCAGAAGAAAATTGTCACCTCTAGAGGGTCCACAACCTTGATATACCATATTTTTACGCTATTTGAGTATGAGGGGTGGCCATTATGTCTGTCAGTTTTGGTCCGATTTTCACGAAATTCGAGCTCAACCATCCTTAGGGTGTAAAGGTGATATATTCAAACGTTTTTTTTAAATCAGATTATAATTGTGACCTCTAGAGGAACCTCAAGCTAAAAACGCGATATTTCGTACAATGAGGGGCCATAATTCAGGATATTACAATTCGATATGCGTGAATATCAAAAGGAACCAAAATCTTTGGGATATAAACTTAAATTTTAAGTTTCATTAAAATCAGAAGAAAATTGTGACCTCTAGAGAGTCCACAACCTTGATATATCATATTTTTATGCTTTTTGAGTACGAGGGACGGCCATTTTGTCTGTCAGTTTTGGTCCGATTTTTAGGAAAATCGTTCTCAGCCATCCTTAGGGTGTAACGGTGATATATTCAAACGTTTTTTGAAATCGGATAAAAATTATGACCACTATAGTTTCCACAAGCTAAAAACGTGATTTCTAGTACAATCAGGGGCCATAATTCAGGAATTTACGATCCGATATGCGTGAATATCAAACAGAACCAAGATCTTTGGGTTATAAACTTACATTTCAAGTTTCAACAAAATGGGATAAAATTTTTTATGAAATTCAAACTCAACCTTTATTGGGGTGTAACGGTGATACATTTAAACAGTTTTTAAAATTGAATCCAAATTATGATTTCTAGAGGGTCCAAAAGCTAAAAACATGATTTTTGGAACAATCAGGGGCCATAATCCAGGAAGTTAATTTCCGATATGCGCGATTATTGCAAGGAACCAAGATCTTTGTGATATAAACATAAATTTAAAGTTTCATCAAAATCGGATCCACAACCTTGATATGCCATGCTTTAACACTATTTTTGTTTCAGGAGCGACCATTTTGTCCAGCAGTTTTGGTCCGATTTTCACAAAATTCGAACTCAACCATCGTTATGGTGTAACAGGGATATATTTTAAGTTTTTTATAAATCAGATAAAAATTGTGATCTCTAGGGGGACCACAAGCCAAAACAGGATTTTTCATACAATCTGGGGCCATAATCCAGGAAGTTAGGGTCTGATATGCGCGAATATCGAAAGGAACTAAGATCTTTGGGTTATAAACATACATTTTAAGTTTCATCTAAATCGAATAATATGCGCGAATATCAAAAGGAACTAAGATCATTGGGTTATAAACTTACATTTTATATTAAGTTTCATCTAAATCGGATAATAATTGTGACCTCTAGAGTGTCCACAAGCTAAAAACGTGATTTTTCGTACAATCATTGGCCATAATCCACTAAGTTTTGATTCGATACATGCCAATATCGAAAGGAACCAAGATCTTTTAGAGATAAGCCTATCAAGTTTCGTCAAAATCAGTTAAGAATTATGACCTGTAGAGTGTCTACGAATTGTGGGCGGACAGAGAGGGGCGACAATATACGCCTACATGAAAAGTCTTGAAGATAAGCCATTAAGAATTGCGGCCTGTAGGTGACACACAGACATACAAAGAGAACATGGCATGGCTCTGCCCCTGGGGGTTTGGGCATACACCAAAACAATAGGGATGACCCATAGTGTATAAGGAATAAATATGCAAAGTTTCCAGACAATATGTCAAGAAATGCGGCCTGTAGACGGCAAACAGACACATATAAAAAATTGGGTGTACCTCTGTCCCTTGGGGTCGGGCATGCACCAAAAATAATAGGATATAAGGAATAAGAGTAAATAGTTTCGAGATGATCCATTTAGTATTGCGGCCTGTAGGCGACAGACACATGTACAAATTGGGCGTGGTTCTGCCCCTAGGGACCGGGCATGCACCAAAAACAATAGGGAACATCCTTATGGTATAGGGCTTAAGTATGCCAAGTTTCAAGACGATCCATTATGAATTTTGGCCCGTAGGTGACAAACAGAGACACACAAAAATTGGGCGTGGCTCTACAATGGGGATCAGACATACACTAAAAACAATCAGGATCATCCTTAGTTTTAAGACGATCCATCAAGATTTGCGGCCTGTAAGCGATAGGGAGACACACACACACACAGACCGGGGCGACTGCATAATACATGTACATCCACATTATGAATGTGGACCTCTATAAAAAATTGAAAAAAAAAATCCTCAAAGAAATGGTCACAATCATATTTGCATAGCACAGTCGATTTTAAGTCTCCATATTAACATCCTTACTAATGAAAACAAACATCAAATGAAATACATACCTTCAATGTCCAAAATTCAGTTTTCCATGGATTAAAGTATAGTAATTTAAAATATCTCTCTAACTCCAAGAAAGCTTTAGCAGATTTTTCTAACTCAAAATGGCCATTGGAAATAGTAACTTCAATAACTTCCATAAAACTTGGGAAATTAAAAACTTTTTTAAGTGGCTGATTTCTCTGACTTTTTCGTAGAATTTTATAAATTGATTCTGCCAATTTTGTTTTGATATCAGTTTCTAAGTCAGTTGAATAAATATGACATTTTTTATATAAATTATGGGCATGTCCAATTGGATTTTCATCAAGTCGTTTTTCTTTCTCTAATCTGTAAGACGTCATTTTGTCAATATTCAAATGGTAAAATGCATAGGCTTATAATCAACAATTTGAGCCAATTCCGTCAGGGAAGTGTGCAAGTTTTCTGCAACTTCTTCAAATCATGATGAACAGTATGCTACTTTTATAATATCTTTGATCATTGATTGCACTATATATATACAGCAGGCAGATGAAATTCATCTTTTACCACTCTAAACATTTTTAATATGGTGTAGATAACACTTCTTCAAATCTGAAATTATATTATAATAAATTTACCTCAATAAATCTATATAAATCAAACATGGTATGCTCTCATCTCCAATACGTAAACAGAATCCACATTTTTATCAAAATCTCAAACAGCGGTTGTCAGGCAAGATATACACCCACTTTGCAAGAGATGGATAGAGAACAAACTAAAAACAAATGAGATTTTTCGTACTATCAGGGTCCAAAATCCAGAAAGATATGGTCTGAAATATGCAAATATCAAAAGGGACTGAGATTTTTGGGATATAAAATCAGATAACCTTCGCATTGCATACTTTTACACAATTTACGTACAAAGAGCGGCTGTTTTGTTCGGCAGTTTCATTTCGATTTTCCCGAAATGTGAATTCAACCTTCATTATAGTGGAATGGTGATATATTTCAAAGGTTTTTAAAATTGGATAAAAAATTGTGACCTCTAGAGAATTCACAAGCTAAAAATGCTATGGGCGAATATTTAAAGGAACCAAGATCTTTGGGTTATAAAGATCCATTTTAAGTTTCAGCAAAATCAGGTGAAAACTGTGACCTCTAGATATCGAAGGCTAGCCTTGACATCGAGAGTTGATTATGGTCTGGATAAGTTAGTTAATGTATAATTAATTATTTAGATAAGATTTCAGGCCTAAAGAAAGACCTACGATAGACAGATTTAGCTCTTGCATAATGTATGTTTAATAATTGACATAAAAAAATAAATATAAACATATGCAGTGCTTTTTTTGGTAAAGGACATACCTCCTGACGATACGGTTGAAATAGTTATTTATAGACTGCTGGCCATCTTATACACAACAAAATATTTGTTTTTCTTATTTTAATTTCGTCGCAAAAGAAGATGATTAATCTGAATAGCAATCTAACATCTATTTATCGGTTGTAAAGGGAGATAACTGCATAACCATTTCCATTTTCTGCAAATTATCGAATATTCGTTGCAGTAATTATACTAATGTGTTGTTATTTGACAATAATAGGTTGTTATTCAGACACTGGTGTGAGAGTGAGTGGCCAGACCATTCGGAATCGACTGCATAGGGGTCACCTTCGCGCCCGACGTCCTCGCGTGATCCCTTGTTTGAGAGATCATCACATTCAGGCAAGACGTCGTTGGTGTAGGGATCGTCAACACTGGGATAATCGACGCTGGAGCAATGTGATGTTTTCAGATGAGTCATGGTTCACTGTTGATTTTTTGGACAGACGTAGGAGGGTGTGGCGTCGTCGAAACGAGCGCTTCCAAGACGTTAACGTCATCAGACATGATCGATTTGGGGGTGGTTCTGTTATGGTGTTGCTGGAAGAACGGCTTTACATGTTGTTGCAGGGCGTGTTACAGGCCAGTACTACCGGGACAACATCTTGGCAGTCCATGTTGTGCCGTTCGCACGACGTCATGGCCGCCGTTTCATCTTCCAGGATGACAACGCAAGATGTCACAGGGCCAGGATCGTTACAGGTTACCTCGAACAACAGAACATCACCACATTACCTTGGCCAGCACTGAGTCCCGACCTCTCCCCCATCGAGCATGTCTGGGACATGCTTGGACAGAGGTTACGTACTTGGTTGTGATGCTGTGGTAACTTTGCTGTTTGACCCCGGGTATCATTTTACCCTTATAATGGTCAGTCTGTGCCTTACTTAGTCTAACGATCATTTGGAATAAATCGATGAATGTGAACTTCATTTCATTTTGTCATTTGTTTCTTCGTCAGTTTCATTAGGTGACTTTAATAACACTTAAAAATCAAATATCCCCTACTTTTTTTGAATAGTATATTAAGATGTTTTCTTCTAAATACTCTTCTACTAAATCATATATTCACAGCAAATATATAAACACCCAAAATGACAAATGACAGCATATATACACAAAAGATTTAAAATAATCTATTAAAATATTTATAGTAATAAATTAGTCCATACATAATTACAAGCCTACTGATTACTATCATATTTATACCCACTAAGTCTGTAATTATATAAAACACATCTAATTTCTTGTCATTTTACACATTGGGCCTACATAGATACATAAATCTTCAACTAAACTCCAAACAGGAAGTATAATATTATTACGTTGCTTACTTTGGTCTGTGACTCATAGCAATAGGGTACTAATCAAAGCTTATTAATAAGGAGTGTTCATTTATGAATATTTTACTATAGTATAGTATAAAACCAATCCTATAGGCTATTGCCCTATTGGGATATTTATATTAGTATTCATTATTACATCAGATTTTAAAGTTTGGTCATGACAAATCATTCTTTATTTTACATTATTACATATAAATATTTTCAGAGGAATTTAATTCATCTATTAATCATTAAATTATCATCAAAATAACTTCATTAATTTGTCTAATCATCAATCATGAATTTTAACACTGTCCACTGCTCACTATCTGTCCCCAATATTTTAATAACTCAGTGCAATGCTAACTTTTAATTAATATGGTATTTTCTATGAACTTTGGATTGGAACTACAAAAATTTCCAGTGTGATTCTACTTTTACTTTCATTTTAAATTGCTGTGTGACTGTCAGTGACATTGCTGGCAACAATGCCTGATGAGTGTTGACAGTTCAACTTCTTCTTGTCTTACATTAAAGGACCTAAGTCCGTAACTCAAAATCCTCCAAAATCTTCGACATCGAAAACACGAATTATTGGTCAATTTAAATCAACATTGATGATGTAAACTTACCGGGAAAAGATGAGCTTCTGATATCCGATATTTAAGATAAAATAATTTTTTTAACATTGGTACACGAATCGTGTACCATAATGCGCTTCAGCCCCAGTTCAAGTCGTATTGAGAGACTCGAAGGACGAGGCTAGACACATTGCACCAAATCAAATGGAGTTATGTAGACTAGAATAACTAGACGCTAGAAATTTGCACTCAATTGAGGTCGCTGACTTATTTCGCCGAACATAACTGATTTGAAATTGGAGTAAAAACGGAAACCATTAAATGTAAATCAGTTTATATACATTCATATTACAGTATTATATGCGTTGCGACCCACTTTTGTGAATTTCTTGGTCCCAAATGTTAGCGATTTAGCTCCTTTAATGAACAAAGTCAAATGGCGAGATTACCAACTAAAGGGCTCAGGTCTATTACCCAGAATAGATCTTAGCTCCATGAAATATTAAAAGTGTCTATCGAAAATGACCCATGGGGTGTCTTCTAAAAAAAAAAAAATAATAAATTAGCCTATAGGCCTATATAGCCTACTAAGTAGCTTTAATTTTACACCTTTCACTTCCGTATGTGATAGCCTACGGGTCTGGTAGATGGTCGTTTCTCTTCAAGGACAATCTGATATGATAATATTTTAGAACAGGAATAACGGATAAAAGGATGATTACATACCAGTAAGTCAGTAACAAATGGTTTTACATCAGATATTGAGATAACTTTTGCAAATGGCGAACAGGGGAATCCCCTACAGTTCGGGAACAAACTATTCGTCTGGATAACAAAAGCTATTGAACTAAGCGCGTGCGCAGTAATGACTGAAATTCACTTGGTCTCAGACTAGCAATTATTTGCCCATTGACTTCAATGTTAAATGGCTGTAACATCACAGGCTGTAGCTTTTTGCTCACCATTCCGTTGGTTCCAATCTTTGTAGGCACAATGGGAACAACATTTGGCAATCTCCTCATCATAATTTTGTAGGGGGTTGACCATTTAGATTTTTTGCTACGCGGATTTGAAGTTGACTGGGGTGAAAATCTCACTTCCGACACAATGATTGCTCTGCAGAAGGACACTTTACACCCCCTATCCCTCCGCTGTAATATCATTAGTATTACCCAAAACTGCTATGAAATTGCAAATTAGATCCCTTTTCTCCAATTCTAGACCAAAAAGTCACCCCAAAAATGCAGGAAGAGGGGAGAAAAAAATTAAGGGAAAAATTGTCTATTTATAACTCGCACAACATTCTGACCATAGATCACACGACAAACCTCAGCAGATTCCTGTAGAGTAACGGAATCTGGCGAGGTTTGCCGAGTGGCCATTGATGTGAGATTCTGACAACGAATTAATCGCCATAATAAATTATCATATTATCATTTATGTAGTTTTATAGCATATAATAATGTCAACAGATTTTTAAAAAAACAAGCCAACAGTGAGGCTGATGTCCCCCGCCGAAATAGGAAAATAATTAGAGGACACATATAAATTTATCACAAATTATCTTTTACAAAGTATTGAACAATCAAACAGTATATCTTTACTTATAGTCTAAGCATACAATGTTTTTGATGGAATAATTATAGCATATTAAGGGGAAAACATACTCAATTCGAAGGAGAGTTATTGTGTTCCAAAGTCTCAGCAAATCAAATTGCTTATCGCTCTGCTTAATCTGAGCAGAAAATGCTCATTATCGATCTTAGTCAAGGTATTACTGTAATGAAACTATACACCAAGTTTCATCACTCTCACTTAATTAGAACTAAAGTTATAGTGTCCCAAAGCATCAACCAATCAAATTGTTTATCTACTTAATTAGAACTAAAGTTATAGTGTCCCAAAGCATCAACCAATCAAATTGTTTATCTCTGCTTACCCTAAGCGGAACGGACAGACAAACAGACAGACGGACGAACCCATTTTAATAGTTCCCTGCTTTCTTCGAAAGGCGGGGGACAATAAGCATGAACATTTACTCAATTCGAAGATCAACCAATCAAATTGTTTATCTCTGCTTACCATAAGCGGAACGGACAGACAGACAAACAGACAGACGGAAGTAGGAGAGTTATTGTTTTCCAAAGTCTCGACCAATCAAATTGCGTATCGCTCTGCTTACTCTGAGCAGAAAATGCTCAATTATCAAACTTAGTCAAGGTATTACTGTAATGAAACTATACACCAAGTTTCATCAATCTCACTTAATTAGAACTAAAGTTATCGTGTCCCAAAGCATCAACCAATCAAATTGCTTATCTCTGCTTACCCTAAGCGGAAAATGCTCATCTTCGAACTCCATCAAGGCATTGACCTAATCAACACATACACCAAGTTTGAACATTCTAGCTCAATTAGGAAGAGAGTTATCGTGCCCCAAAGTATCAACCAATCAAATTGCTTATCTCTGCTTACCCTAAGCGGAAAATGCTCATCTTTGAACTCCATCAAGGCATTGACCTAATAAACACATACACCAAGTTTGAACATTCTAGCTCAATTAAAAGTTATCGTGTCCCAAAGCATCAACCAATCAAATTGCTTATCTCTGCTTACCCTAAGCGGAAAATGCTCATCTTCGAACTCCATCAAGGCATTGACCTAATCAACACATACACCAAGTTTGAACATTCTAGCCCAATTAGGAAGAGAGTTATCGTGTCCCAAAGCATCAACCAATCAAATTGCTTATCTCTGCTTACCCTAAGCGGAAAATGCTCATCTTCGAACTCCATCAAGGCATTGACCTAATAAACACATACACCAAGTTTGAACATTCTAGCTCAATTAGGAAGAGAGTTATTGTGTCCCAAAAAGTGTGACGGACAGACAGACGGACGGACGGACGGACAGACAGACGGACGAACCCATTTTAATAGTCCCCTGCTTTCTTCGAAAGGCGGGGGACAAAAAAAAAAATCAAACCAAAGTAGAATAGCCTGCGCTGTGCTGATCGCCAGTGATCGGTTGGCTACCCCGCGGGAACTTGGCATCGTTCCAAGAAAAAAAAATTTTCATGGTTCTGGCCGGTGAATCATCAACAGAATTCAGATTTATCCATGAGAGAAAAAAATAAGCTTATCAATTTAGAAGAATCCATGAGAGAAAAATAAGCTTATCAATTTAGAAGAATTCATGGGCCAACTATATTTTTATTCCCAAAATAAGATTTAATAAAAAAAAAGTCTATAGAATTCTATAGTGCCCATTCCTACAGAAAACTATAGTGGCCCAATTTTCAAACTACAGAATACTACAGTATTCATTCCTATATATAACTGTAGAATTTCCTACAGAAAGTGCAATATAAAAAAACTATAGAATACTATAGCATTTTCCTATAGAAATTTTGCCATAAATCTGTAGGAAAAACTATAGGATGTGCGCTACAGAAATTATAGAATATTTGGGGCCGTTATTTCCTACAACCCCCCAAAATTCTGTAGAATACTATAGAATTTTATCCTATAGAAAATGGGACACGCCCCCAAAAAACTCTATAGTTTTTCTATAGAATTATATACAATAGTACACTGGTATTCTGTAGGACGTTTTGCTAAGGGCGGAGAAAGAATGCTACGGTAAAACAAAATCATATTAAAACGAGTACAAATTGGAGGTCATTCCGGTCACCGAGGTGACGTTAGATTATTTTTCTGCACGCCAGATATACCGAGGTGTAAAATGGGTCAATGAAGACGGCATACATGTACGCCATACTGTGTGCGAGGGGGGTGAAAAACCTATCATAGGTCCTGTGTACACATTGGCGTGCACGTAAAATATCCCTTGGCAGTCGGAATTCCAAGAGTAGATAAGGAGAAGAGCAGTAGCTGGGCGTTAAACCCATTTCATTTCATTTCTACATACACATTACATTTATTTTTCTAAATTTGTTTATTACATTGTTGGAGATTAGATAATGAGCTGACAGTTCTCACTATAATAGTTAAAAACTAGATAATGTAAAGGGAATTTGCTGAAAATTTCAGTCAAATTGATCCACTCATGAACCGAGATTTTAGCGATTGAGTTTTGGGCCTAGCCTTGATCATCATTACTAAAGTCGGTACGATAAAAGAAACTAGTCTCAATTATCCATTTCATGATTAAATCATCGAATGGAAGTCGAACAGCAAATCGGAACCTAATCCAATAAACATCACAGGCTAGCGATGACATCGAGAGTTGATAATGGTCTGGATTAGTTAATTAATGTCTAATTAATAATTTAGATAACATTTCGGGTCTAAAGAAAGACCTGCAATAGGCAGATTTAGCTCTTGCATAATGTATGTCGAACAGCAAATAGGAACCTAATCCAATAAACATCGCAGGCTAGCGATGATATCGAGAGTTGATTATGGTCTGGATAAGTTAATTAATGTCTAATTAATAATTTAGATAACATTTCAGGCCTAAAGAAAGGCCTGCAATTGGCAGATTTAGCTCTTGCATAATGTGTGTTTAATTTTAATATATTTCAAAACGCGTTATAGGTACTCTGTCCTATGCGCATACATCGAATATATTGGATGTAAAATTACAATAAACCATACACACAATGACTAAATTTTATGTGAGGTGATTTTTTTGTGTACCGGTACAGTAGTTTTTCAAATGGCTTGTGTAATAATATAATAATTTGTTTTGGCGTGGGGAGGGGCACGCGGATGCCCAAATTCGGCACTATGATATCGTCTTCAAATACTTAGTTCACAAATATTTCCTAACTTAAGTCATTTGTGATTGACTGTGAAGCTGTTCGTCGAGTCATTACGATCGGAACACCTTTAGTATGTGCGAGGGGGTCCAGGGACCTATATCGGCTACAATTAGAAAATAAATTAACATATATTTTCAAAATAAATATGGTCATCTTCGCATCCACTAAAAAATATAATGGCCTAAATCCGAGGAGAAAAATGATCTATGCGTAGGGTAGGGTGAAAGGAAGGTGAATCAAGCTATAGTTTAGTTTTCTCGTCATATGTAACGTATTCTTCACCAAAATATTGAGTAAATTCTTAACTTAAGCCTGAGAATGCTTTGTGAACTCGGAGCCAGTTGTTCCGATAGCCAAGAGCTACGAGGTGGGCCCCGAGCACACCATTTACTTTACGTACCATTTATAGCTGTTTAGCCTAACTGAAAACTCAAACGGGGGTCATCATTATTTTACTTTTTATACACAATTACTGGTAAGTTTCAACATTGTAATTAACAACCAAAAACAACTATAGTTATAGGTAAATATTTCCCCGCGCCTTGTTAAAACTTACATACATGTAGTTACACCGTTAAATGCCCCCTCGTGGACCATATCATATGATATCTATTATTCTGAGTAATCTTCAGTATGAGGATATAACACTTTTTGTACCCGCGCAGGTCCAAATATTTTCCGGTGGAATCATCGTTCTAAAAATAAACCTTGGGAAGTACAAATAGCGAAATACCCCACATTATGAGTTTTATTATAGGCTTTCCCTTCTGGAGGCTATCGATAGATACCGAGATGGGGTGCGAGACAAGTCGGCCAGGCGATACTACTAAATGAAATGGAGGGTTTAACTTCCTACTGTTCTTTACCGAAATGGCTAATATAGGATGTTTGACAACTTCACTCAAATTGTAGGTCTATCGCTCAAATTAGTACGAGTTTGAAACAAGAATGTAAAATTATCCTTTGCTGAACTGAGAAGTCACATCACACTCGCCTCAGCTTAGTGAGCTTACATAAACAAATTTTACCCCCAGTCTTACTCTCAGTCGAATTTC